CTGGCCCTTATTCATGTGTAAGTGAGTTTTTGTTCCCTTAAACCAACATTTCCTCATACTTTCTTCTTCCTTAATTCATTCTTTCAACTGTTTTAGATATTTTATTCATCCTTTAGGGATGCCTTCTATGTTTTCATGGTTTCACTTATGTAAGAAACATAATGTCTTTCATTTGAAGCTAAAGAATGGGAGGGAAGACTGATGTAGAAATAATAATTGTCCGATGCTGTGGCAAAAAGACTGAGATGAATGTGAGCGGTGAGCATAGAAATCTCAAGGGACAGGTGAGATCAGAGCTGTACTCCCTGAGATGACAGGGAAGAGCTACTTGTACTGAGACCTGAGAGACAGAAGTTAATTCCCTGCCCCTAGAAAGCAGGGGCTTGGAGAATCAAACATTGATAAAATACTGTTTAAAATCCCACTCAGAGGACACAGACTCTTAGCTAGATAAGAAGAAGCAGTTAAAGAAATCACCTGTGGGGCATTCTGTAGATAATTAATGCAAAGTCTATTGTTCTTCAGAGTCACTGAGAGCTGAGTTTAAGTGCTGTCTGAAAGGGAAAATATGGGATAAATTATATGCTAATTGGCTTGATACAGTCAGTCTGGAACACAAGTTCCATTTTAAAAATTAAATTAAAAGTCATCCTGTGAGAGAGCCCAGGGTTGAGAGGGAACCTGGAGTTTTTGAGGAAAAGAAGAAAATTGAAGAACTTAGAGATAAGCCAGCCTGATAGGACAAGGTGGCCAGGATGTATCTAGGGTAAGCCCTAGTCACCGGGTCTGAGAAAAACATGGGTCTGATTCTGTCTCAATATCAATATCAACTGTGGAGCTCAAGTCACATCCCACCTCCAGGCACAACCTGACCTGCTCATCCAGTGTCCAAACCAGACTAGTAAATATGACTCTGAGCCCTCATCAAAGAAGCTCCTTTTGCAACACACAGAGACCATTACAGCAAGCCTCAACTGGTGTATAAACCAACTGATCCTGATTTGGGGATATCTCCAATGGCTACATCTACAATATATTCCCATCCCTAGGGCTTGTGGAACATGACAGAAGAGGGAACAGAAAGACTCTAAAAGCCAGAGGATCAGGAAGTTGGCTGTGAATATGTTTTCCAGATATGACAGGAAGGCTATCCCCATGATACCTCAACAATATGGCTACCTAAGCAAGCCCTGAACAAAGACACCACCCATTGACATCCCAGCTTGAGTGAGGGAAAGCCCACAGGGCTCCTAGATGAGGAGCTACAAGAATTTAACGGCTGCTGAGTGGTGGAGAATAAGTATTCCCCAGGATTAGCCCCTTATATGGTTATCCAGTACCAAGTGGTGTGCTCTAAAAGCACATACATATAAGCAACACTAAGCAACACACAGCAAGGTGTATTTATTTATTTGAATATAAACATGCGACACTAATAAGTAGGCAATGAATTTCAGAGGGATCATGAAAAGCAGGGACTTACAATGTACTGGAGGAAGCATATAGAGGGGAGAAATGATGTAATTATATTTTCATTAAAATTGTTTTTAAAGCCGGGCGTTGGTGGCGCACGCCTTTAATCCCAGCACTCGAGAGGCAGAGCCAGGCGGATCTCCGTGAGTTCGAGGCCAGCCTGGGCTACCAAGTGAGCTCCAGGAAAGGCGCAAAGCTACACAGAGAAACCCTGTCTCAAAAAACCAAAAAAAAAAATTGTTTTTAAAAATTAGGGAGAAGAGAGTTGGTGACTCCCAGTTTAGGGGTCCAGAAAAGACTCTATTCTTGGAGTTAGCAGAATTTGAAAAAAAAATTGCAAAGCTTCTGATGATGTAAGACATGAAAGAAGCTTCTGGATAAAATTTTCAAATTGTGGAAAATAACAGGAAGATATTTGTGCTTCTGCATGACAAGGAGCAATCTCCATAGTGCCAAGGAGGGTGAGAGCCATAGGAGGTATAGACAAGCAGAGCAGACATGAGGGAAACAGTAACAAGTGGGGAACAGAAGAGCTTAAAAAGAAGTTCACAGAAATTTATGCGGAGAGGGAGAAAGATTTGAGTTTGTATGTGGTGGTGTGTGCATTTAATTCTAACATTCAGAAGCAGGCAGAAGCAGGCAGAAGCAGGCAGATCTCTGTGAATTCTATACTAGCCTGGACTATGTAGCAAGTTCCAGGCTAGTCAGGGATACATAGTGAGAATCAGAATCAGAACAAACAAAAGAATTAAATAACTAACAGGCTTAAGAATTTAGTGGGGGAAATAAACAGCACCTAGTGGCATACAGTTCATGAGGAGATGGAGAAGTAGATAAAGTGCAAATTCTCATGATCTGTCTTTGAGGACTGTCAAGGCCTTGCTAGGGGACACTGAGAGAGGTCTGGGAAATGGAGAAATCTCTCACATGTAGACTTGGTCATCCTGAAAACAACTGTCTCTTTAGACAGCTTGTCATGGAGATATCTCAGTGCCATATGCTTCACTGCATGAGGCCCAGTAGAGAAGAGACAGAAACAATGCGACTATCCGTTAATAGAAAAACTGATAAAGAAAGTGTGGTGCACAAACACATTAGAATACTGGTCATCCTCCAGAAAGGAAATGCTGCTGCTGTTGTTGGCAACCAGAATGTATCCAGAGGAAGTTACATGAAGCAAGCCAGTCACAGAATGACAAAAACACAGGATCTCACTTATGTATAGAATGCAAAGACATTCATCTCAGAGATGAAAAACAATGAGAGTAGAATGGTTATCAGAGGCTAAGGGAAGGGTAAATTGAGACAGAAAAGATGCTGGACAAAGATATGAAATTCCATTTTGATGGGAAAAATACATTTATTGAGTTCTACTGTGCATGAGAGTGGCAGATTGCTTATTTAAGTTTTCCAAAAAGTGATAGATAGATGACATTGTCACACCTAAAACATAATGGATGTCAGAGGTGATGGACATGCAACTCAGCCTAATTTAATCATACTATGGTGTAAATGCACAACAAAGCATGGTGTTTTAAATAAGAAATCAAAGAAAACAGGTAGAAAAGGAAGAGGGATGCAGGTTGCTTATCTGAGGATGTTTATGATTATAGGAAATGCTCATAGGTCTTCCTCCAGGCCTCCTGGGTACACGTGATCCTCTTCAAACCTGCCCATGGGTTCAGCAACAACCAAAGACATGACTCACCTTCTTGAGTCATAACTGTCCATCTTAGGCACAGCACTGAAATAGAAAGTTCAGTGAGAAAGACACTCACCACATGGGTTGCTTAGAGATGAGAATATAGGAAGGACTAGATATAGGTGGGAACATTCAGCCTACCATGATTACCCAGCCTTTCTTCCTCCATATCAATGCCAAAGTATAATTCTCCTTTTCACTCTGAAATAAGCCTAAGTAATACCTCAGGCAAGAGGTGGAGACATAGACTCAAAATCCCAGCTAGCCAGCTGGTCCACACATTTAAGTATTACTTGAGCTATAAAGTTCAAAGTCAGCCCAAGCATCTTTCTGAGACCATGTCTCAAATCCAAAAGTAAAATGAGGCCCAGGATGTATTTTGAAAAGAAAAGAATTTCTCAACAAGGG